AAAAAAAAAAACATATTAAATAATATTTGGATATGTTAGCATTCAAACATTTCAAAGTACATTTATTATAATTTCATAATTTATAGTTTTTTTTATTAAATAAAGAGCTATTATCAAAAATAAAATGAAAGAATAAAGCAAAAAAAATAAATAATAATAATGAAATAAACATACACAATGTATTCTCTAATCAATATCTTTTGTACACTGCTCAAAACAATTAGAGTATAATGTTAGGAATGTGCTCATTTTGCCTATAACGCAGAAAACTACGCGTTTTAGATATTGAGTGGAAAGCGGAAAACGGCATTTATTTTAATGGGGTAGACAAAAAAAAACATTGACACGCGTTGAGTAATTAGTAAGTGAACAGCTCGCAGGAAAATGATTAAGCTGAATTTCATTTTGAGTCAGGTCAAACACACTCCGTTGTAGGGAAGTGTTCTTCCCAGACTTTGGAATCCTGAAATGTTCTCCTAAATTCAGGATAAGGTTGAACACTTATCAAAACTATTTTTGTTGTATTTAGTATTAAAACAAAATGAGGATCTGTTTTCAGCACTATCGACCAGAAGAAACCACACTATTGGAGCCACTTCATTGTTATATCTTCATAGGTCTTTTGGTTTCAGAATTTCGATTCAAAATGTTCTCCATCATGCAGATTTGTATACTCAAAGACCCATGGTTTGTCTTCAGATGACAGGGAGTCACCGTGCTGTTTACAGAACGTGAGCGTAGGAGTATCTTAGTGAAGATGAGATGAATGGATCAATATACTCTTCCGGGAAGAATATATTGCTTCACTCATCTCGTCTTCCCGCTTTGGTGTACAACTTGACAATAGACCGATGATCATCAGAGAGTGCGTGCCACAAGGAATAATCTCATATTTGTGCATGAAAACGTTCGATTTGATGAAGGACAGTGATTGTCCACTTAGGTATTTCTATCAATGATCACATCTACCTGTACACTAACTGGAATTGGACTGCGCCGTGATTTAGGACCTATTGTTGTCCTTTTTATTCCAGCAATCATATAAGAGCTTTTTTTCTTCCTAAGGATGATAACGTAAGATCATACCCTGCTTAGCTTGTTATCGGTTTTCAGTTTGCAAAATGTCCGATATGTTAATATACCCCAGCACCCTTAATATTTATTTTGAATTCTTATCGAAAATGATTTCTAAAACGTAAGTAAAAAGTTATAATGTTTATGTGAGTAAACAAGAACATCAAAATCGCCTAATGCCTTGATTGCCCAATAAAACTTGCTGGTTTTTCTAATAATTACCTTTTAACTTATCCGTGATTCCTTCTGCAATCAAACAAAATTAAGTATTCCTTGTCTCATCTCCTACAAAGTAGTTCACTAGAGGTTTTTACTTTTTTTTTATTAGATTTATTTGTAACTTCTATTTCGCATACCCTTTTAAATGAATTCTACTGTTTGCTTACAAAATGCTCGTATGATAAGTGGGAACTATTTCATTCCGAAGAGAGGATATGAAAAAAAAACATAATTTAGCTTAACAAGCTGTAATACTGTCAAACTCTCACAAGAACTCCTCCAGACACCATGCTCAAGTGTTACAGGCAACTGTGAGTTAAATCATTTCTAATAGGGCACACGCGATTGAACGTTTCGCTTGAATTAGATTGAGAAAATCAGATAGTTTCCTCAATTCTCCACTGAGTCTTGGTGGATCAGGGTATAGAACACTCGCTTCCGATTGAGATGACTCGGGTTCGAATGTGAGAGGTGGCTGGTTGATATGCATTCTGCTATCGGCTTACAAGATCACTGTGCTAACGCAAAGTATATTCGGTGATAGACTGATCATGGGTTATAATCCCCTTGCGGTTGGGCTAACCATAAAAGGTTTTCGCAGTTTTTTCCTCCATGTAAAGCAAATGCGAGTTAGTTACATCAAAACGTACTCCATGAAGGCTAGGAGTTCCTTTGTGTCCTGGGATGGATTCAAAATTACAATGCTAAGGAATTGAATATTGATTGTCGTAAACTCAGAACTGAATGGGCTGTTCAACGCCAATCATTAAATACAATAAAATACTCCACCAATAGAAATTGTTTAAGTAACAGCAAATAACCAAACGTGATTTTCGGTAGCAGCTGAGCAACACTTCATGCAAGTAAACAACTTGTTTTTGCTTTCTTTTTCTCCCTCTATTTGTGACGAAATTAACGCACGCGCAAAAACGCGAAAGATTTTCATAAGCAAAACAGATAATATCATGGATTAGTATAGTGATAAGTCATATTTTGAAAACTATCCACAAGAACGTTTAGAATTACCCACCCCCTCTATTTTTATGTAGGCAGAAATGTTTCAGTGCAATATGCTGCTGACTAGAGTAAATTTCATAAACTTGCAAAGCACCTCTTTAAAAACATTGAAAAACAATTGAAAGTAAAACTTTTTTCGAAGTTTCTTGTTCGTACCGCTTGAAAAACGTACGTTTTCGAGTATTGTAATGTCATTATTACGGAACCTCAGCAGCAGCGAAAGAATGAAGCATTTTTCTTTCTAGTTTTCTTTTGTGAAACATATTTATAATTTTATGTGTTTTACTCTTCCTTTATTTATCTCAAAATGACTGTTGAACACTAATGTCTGTAGTCATAGTTTCATGCGATGTTTTAAAAATAACGTAAGAAGAGTGAAACTATATTTTGTAATAAAAACAATTATCATAAGATATTTTATGTTTTATTTGATTACTTCCACAAATGACGATAAAAACATGTACAACACATATTTATATACAGTACAATAATAATATTCGAGGACGGTGATAAATCATCAAGTATTTTTAAGAAAGCTCACATTTTGGTGTTAAATTTTTTTAAGTAATATGCAAATTGAGAATAAATTTTATGCAATTAAGGAATAAAGCTTGATTTTGATAAATTAAAAATTTGGCTATTAAATAACACTTTTTAAACCTGAAAAGCCTATCCTATTTTAATTGGAATTTATAAGGATTGATGCTTTTCAAAAAATAGTCTTTTTCAAAAGCTTACTTTATTAATATGTTGACTGTTTTCCAATCAAATCCTTTACACTGTTAACCCTTTCGGGTTTTTAGTGTATTTTAAAATAGTGTTAAAAGTTATTTTTATGTTCATGAAATTTTCACCTGATAACATCACAATACTTAAACTTTCATGAGATTATAGTGTTTTTCACTCAAAACACTATTTTGTTAAATTTGAGTACTTGACATATTATCATATTGCACCAAACCCTTTAATTTTTTTCTATAATTTCGTCATTCCAATATCACAGCTCCATAGCTTACTTTTAAATGTGTTTACAATTATGTTTACAATTAAAATTGTTCAAAATATAACTATGGAAATAATTCATTTTTTTCAAACATTCTACGAAGTTACAAACATTTAATAATTTTTGGTTTAATTATTTAATTCTCATGATGGCATCTTAATGGTTCGAGGCTATTATTTTAAAGGTGTTAAATTTTTTTTGATTCTTAAAATATCGTGAGGTATTATCAATTACAAAATCAGACCCAAGGTGTGTATTGCCTCTTATTAAACATATTTTTTTTTCTCGTTAGATTTATCCCTCAAAATATAAAGGGAGAAGAAGCCTACAATAGTTTCCGAAGACAGTGGTCAAAAATTATATATTTTTAATATTAATAATTTATTACTAATAAGAAATCATTTGAAGAGCAACAACAAGGTCAATAACAAAAAAATTAATGTTTCATTTAAAATATCACGAAGACTTTCCTCTACAATATACATAGAATTAAAACATTAAGAGCACCTTTGCGTTCCCATGTTTACCTTTTCAAAAAAGGTAAAAATAGCACTTTTTTGACATGGATTACTAAAACCTACATTATTTGAAGCTATATTCGTTAAGTTATATTATTTTTAAAAAGTTCCTCATGTTGTACTTCATGGGCTCTATTTCGTTAGAACAAAGTTTCTTCAAGTATTAATAAACACATAACATAACACATAAATGTTAAATAATGTATGTACATCGCAAAAAGAGCTTCAAAATAATTATTTATTTTATTTTAAATAAATATTATTTACTGAAAATTATTAATTTGTAAGCAAAACTGCAAATAATTTTGTGCATCTCACTGGGTTTTTAAATATGTTGAAAATTTACCTCCGTCATGCACATACCGTTCAAGGAAAAAAAATTATAAAATATAAACAAACTTAAAAAACAATTTACAGAGTTTAAATAAAATATGAATAGAATTCTGAGTAAAATTTTGCTTGAGAGTATGATACAGTTGTCGCCGATACGAATTTTTAAATTTTTAAATAGCAATATCTTTTTATCCACCAAAATATGATTCTCACAATAATAAATCCAAAATTCAGATCTATGTTTCCAGCTTGGAAAACGGCGACGCTGGGCGTAAAATGAAGAAAAGAGTAAATTATCATTACTCGACCTGCCATTGATGCAGCCCTGTTGAACAGATTCGTTATTTTCTTCAATTTTGTCTATCAATACAAAATGCAAAATTCATGCAAAAATATCGCTATGCAAACTAAAATATCTTAATAACGTTTTTTACAATGAGGATCATATTTCAAAGAAAAGTTGAGTTATCATTTAAAATTTTTGGAGTTCTGTCTTTATAATATAACGATTGAAGCTGGATATTCGTTTGAACACTGATGGTTTTAAACTCATACCTCTTACCCTTTGACATAGATGGGATATTATTTTTTATTTTGGTATTTTTTATTATAAAGCAGTCTAATAATTATCAAAAAATCTGTTAGATTATCAGAATTATACGTGTACTAAAACATAAAATCCGAAAAGACCATAACCCTAAATTATTAAACTATATATTATTTTTCTATAACTATTATTTTTCTGTATTCTATTAACTATATATTATTTTTCACTTATTTTGATCAAAATCAGTACAAAATATTGAAAAAAAATTAAAAATCAGTGAAATAAAAAATTTGCGTCAAAGAGTACAATTTTTATTCCTTTCTCTTAAACAACCTACCCCTAAGAGCTCCATAAAGTAATTCCTTAATCTTTATTGTGTTCAACACAAAATGACAGATTTGCCCTTAGTATATATTTTATGGTAACACAAGACATTTAATAAAATGTGTCGTAGTATATATTTTATAAAAATAAAATAACATACATCAGGGTCAAAAATTAATAGGTATGAGAGGTCGAAATAAAAATGCTAGGCTAAATCTGAGTAAGCTTGTAAGGAGGTGGAATGAAAATTTTAAAAACTAGCCTAAATGCATGAAGAGATCCGGGGTATTTATAACAGCCACTTTATGAACAAAGGCAACCAAAAGATTAAATAAATTATGAATTATAGGTTCTAAATCAGAGGTTTCAATATTCATCACTGGCTGTAAAAAGAAGGGCCTCGCGGAGCCAATTTTATTCCATCAAGGTACTCAAGGGTTCCGTGGAACACCATTTGGGAGCCAAAGGGTATATAAATTAACTCTTTCAACAATTCGTGGCATATTAATAGGGTGGAAAAACGATTTTTATTCACTTCGTGGGTTGAACTTTATTTGAAAAATATACAAAAAAAAAATGTTTTTGTCCGTTGAAAGCAATATATAAAATAATTTTCGCTTAAAAAACAATGTTTTTTTTTAAGTAGACTAAAAAGGAGAAAATAACTCTACTTCTAAAACAAAAAATGTGCAGGGAAATTTGTAAACTTTTGATAACTACTAGGCTGAGTTTAAAAAACATAAAAATGTTGAAGAATCAAAAAATCTTGAAGCAATCCTAAAAATGCAGATCACTTCAAAATATGATAGGAAACTTTAGGTGTCAATAGCAGTTTTATTGAAAAATTAGCGTAAAGCTTTCGAAAAAAGGCAAATTCCTTCGATTTCAAAAAGTTTTCTTTTTTCATTTGAAAAACATTTTTTTTTTAACTTTTTAGTTTTGCTATTTTAAAAAAAAACTTTGTATTTATTAGTTTATGTCATTAAAATTTCGATAGACTATGCATTCTTATTGGAAATAAAATCTATTTGACGCTATCAAGAAACGATTAACGTATTTTTATGAGGAATAGAGTTTCCGTAGAAATTTAAACGCTTTAGTCAAAATTCTGAAAGATCTCTCCTTTACAGATCTCCAAAAAAATGAGTTAAGAAAATATAGGTACAAGGAGTTCTTATAATATCTCTTACTTTTCATTGACGTATTTGAAAAGTTTTAAAATATTTGACAGCTTATTAATCGAAGGAGTAATAGGCTGGATAGATCAGAAATGGGTTTTAGTTAACTCATAGAAATTCAATCTAGTAAAATTCGTTAAAATGTCCAAGTCTATTTGCATTAATGTTTTCTGCAAGAAATGCAATAGTCTGATTTCTTGAAATAATGGATGTTTAGACCGCGGTATCCTTAGTGCTGACTTGTCCATCCTCGTCGCAAGATACTTGGCCACCATCTGTTGTGGTATCAGTGGTGTGGTCTCCCGAGTTTAGATGAAGTGTAGAGTGAGATGCTGAGTTTGAATTGGGAAAGTCTAAAACTCTTCTTAAAATAAGTTGTTGATCCGGGTTGTTGACCTTAGTGAAGCTGCTTTTTATTGGGTGTGGAGAGCCTTTGTGAACAGCTGCCATGCCTGTTTTATAAATGAATTTGTTTTAAAACATAAAGTTTTCCAAAAAAAAAAACAAACATGCATTATAAATATAAATACAAACTATTAAATTTGAAGTAGTCCTTAATTCTCAATAATATCTTTCCCGGATAGCTCTCTGGAACAAGTTTGAACCTTTTTTTCCTCTTTCATATAAAACTAAGTGAGTCTGTATAAACAGAGAGTGATTGATTCGTATGTAAAAACCAAAATGTTCCACCTCGTACCCTCATTGTAGGAGCTTCTCGTCAAGTTCCAAGGAAATTCTCTGATAAGTATTTCGCGCCGGCCAGGTGACCGAGCGGTCAGCGTGTCTGACTGTGAAGCCAGTGGCTGCGGGTTCGAATCCCGCTAAGGGCATGGATGTTTCTCTCTGTATGTTGTTCTTTATTGTGTGATGTGTGAATGTTGCCCACCCTATGAAACGGGTATCTGTGGCAGTGTGGCGTGGGTTATGTTGCTCGCCTCCGTGACTTAGGTTCACAGGTGGCAGCTGGGTAACGTTAAATGAGTAACACTTCCAATACATCCGTTAAATGAGATACTTCCGGCATCTTCATAGGTGAAGAACGTAGAAGTTCACTGCATGCCATTAAAAAAAAGTATTTCGCTTTCTAATGCATGTAGAGTCTTGAAATTCTCGGATGGTGAATACAGTCTGCTGCAAAGATGTCGTTAAGATAAGCAAAATGGTTGCTAAGTTGGCGAACGACCTACTCCCAAGCACCTTTTCTTTGCTAGCAAGTTGTTATGTGGTACTTTTGAACTATGTGAAATAGCCAAGATAATGCTAATTTTTAGGGAAATGATGCGTGGTTAAACAAAAAATGACAGTAGATTCATTATCTTTACCGAAAATATATAAGAAAAACAAGCACATACTTTCATCGAAAGGACATTTTTTCACGTTGAAATTAACGATTGCGCTGTTTATCTTACCTTTAAGTTAATAGTGGCTTAACTAAACACAATGTGTTGAAAGACATTTAAACCTGTTTATTATTAAGACGAACACAAGCGGCGACATTTATAGCTTAATCATAACATTTCAGATTCTCAAAAACAGACAGTCTCAAACCCAGAGTAAGTTTCTATCCCGAGAGAGTACCCATTGTAAGTTGTTCGGGAAGTCTCTTCACCACATGTTGCGAAATACATTTACTTAATGTCACACAATGAAGAAGAGAAAGTGAATTTGTACAAAGGTGTTCTTTTTAAACTGTTTCGGATAAAACAGGAGTACGTGAAGCTTTAAGCCAAAACTTTTGATGCAAATATTGGAACGGTGATTGTCATACTGTGGAAACCTTCGAGACTAAATCGTAATTGAGTTTCAATGGAAGAAAAACCACTTTTACCTCGATGGTTCAATGAGTCTCGAACCTTCCGATAAATTTAGCTCAGTTTAGATTATGATATGCACAAGATCTCATCTGCATCTTTATCAAGTTTCTGCATTTGATAAGTCGCAATAATAAATTCTTCTTTTGTTACTCGGAAAAACGGCAATTGCTTATAAGAAGGATAATTTATCTCAAAAATCATCTATAGAGAATTCTGTAGATATGTTAAATTTATAAATGTCGTGTAGCAATTAATTCTGAGGGTATTTAAAAATTAACGTAAACTTAAAAAACAAATAGACTGGGTGATTGGTTACCTGGTTGCATTATGAAAACACTAACGATTAATTTTGTACATATATAATTCATAGAAACAAGTGATATACAGAATTAATTACAAATTTGAGCCACGGCAGCTCAGGGAATAGAGCTCTCGCCTCTCTATGAGGTGACCCAGGTTGGAATCCGTGCGTTGACTGGTCAATGCGAAATCTGCTCCTGGCTTGCTCTAACCGCATTAATTGCATAAAATACCTCAGTGGTAATGATGGGTTATAAAATCCTTGTTGTTGGGCTAAACGTGGGAGGTTTTCTTCTTCATGTAACCCACATGATGGCAGTTCAATCAAAAACTCCTACCTGAAGGTTAGTTTGTCGTAATGTTTGATCTAGGAGTTCCTTTGTCATTTGTATTAGGAATAAAATTATAAGGCTACGGATTTGAATACTGATTGTCGTAAACTCAGAATCAGACCAGCAGTTCACCGTCGGTTATAAAATGAAATAAGTTTAAATCCGCTCATATTTTCACACGCATCTCTTTTATCAATAATCAACTTGTAAAAGTGCAAACAGGAACATCTTAGAAAAATGATATCTGTTTCTGATTTCAGTATCAGTTAAAATAACCTACCTTCCTTAGGAAAATTCTCAGGAAAGAAAGTGGATGATTTGTGCTCATGTGCATAGAACTCCTCAGCATTTGGTAAGCTATTCACCATTCCCCTCAAACGACGTTTTGAGCTACTGCTACTATGAGTTCCTGCTGCCTGTAATGATACGTATTCATTGAATACCGTACAATAATATTGTACGGTAATAAATTTTGTAAATTGAATTAGTACACCACATTAAAAGTTTAAAAATCTCGAGCGTTTTTTGAATCAAAAAGTGGAAATATTTGTTGATCGGAAATTAATTTCGTTTTTTTTCTTAATGAAAACGGAAAACAATTTTCTTATCGTCAATAAATATTTTATTGAATCGTATATTGCCCATTATGAACCAAAACTTTTTGCTATCTTTCTGGCAGAGTAGAATGACTCCACGAGCATAAAATGTTTGTTCTTGTTGGCAAAAAACTGAGCCAGGTGAGTTTTGTCCTACTTATATGAAGTTAAGGTTTAACCGTCTAAATTTTGAAGAGACCGTAACATTATTGTAGACTACCCATTATTCTATTACACTGATGATTTTTTAAAATGGATCATTTGTTTTTTTTTTATGATTGAAAAGGAAATAACAGATGTCTATACAAAGAAGCAAATTTCTGCAAGAACATGAGGAATTCATATCTCAAGTTTTGAAATTAAATAGGCTTTTTAAATAATCATTAACGGTTAAATTATATAAATTTATTCTTTCAGTGATCTCACAAGTTGTTATTCGCTGGTTTGCATTATTTAATGCCTTTATTGTGTCTTCATCGATTAAATTGGCGCGGAGCATCTCCGTGCATCGTAATTGAAATTTTGTGAACCAGTTTTGGCACTGAGATATTTTAAATGCATCTTCTCCATACACATCGGATAATTATTTTCTTTCTTGAAAAGCATTATTACCTTCTCAATAGTAAAAAAGTAAAATATGCTGAAAATTCCGTTTTTCACTTTTCATATTTGAAAGCGCAACCATCAAAAGCTACTGCGCAGAATCAATCGAACTTTTTCACAAGTAAACCCTGCTATATCAGCTGTTAAAATATATAATGATTGTGTGGCTTAAGCGTGAAGTATGCTGTGATAAAATATAATTAAGCCCTCTGTTGGCAAAAAACGAAATTACTTTCCGAATAACTCAATATTATAAATACACAAGTGGACGACCTTTGTGCTAAAATAATGTTACACCTCATTCTGTTATGTTACACCTCATTAACAATATTATATTTCGCTACACCAATTAGATTACAAAGTAAAACATAGTTTAATTTTTTCGCTTCATATTTGACTTAATGGATCATGAAAATTTAATACCTCTTTCCACTATAATCATTTATTCTTTTTTTTTCTACAATCAGGCGATTAAATACAAATAAGTTATTTTGTTCCGAGAGGTATTATGGTAATCACAGTGGACTTGTACTCCAGGGTAATTGGTTTATTTATGCGAAAGACTGAAACGACATATCTTCTCATTTGTGCCATAATATTTGCCTGGAGTAAACTAAGAACATGCTATCCAATTTCTGCCTATAAAAGTTGTGATTAAGATCTGGCTGCTAAAGATTTGTCGAGAAGTTGAACAACCGATTCGATGTTTGAGTCAGAGAAGATAGGCAGAGGAAAGTTCGAACCAGGAAAATATGATATGATAATAAAACAATCTGTGTTTTATCCAGACCCAGTAGATTTATATATTTTGTTTTTATGTGTCCTCATATATAACGCTTTTGCATAATAAATATATCCAAATGTATACCAAAAAATGCATTAACATTTTTAATACCATAAAATAAGAATGTTTATGAGAAAAGCATAATAATTAGTCAAAATTGTTTCTCGGCAATAAAATTGAAACTTTTTTGTGTGGATATTTTGTTGCTCAGAAGAGAGTCAGTTTAGAGTTTTCGTGCTCAGAGAGCCAGAAGAGTGGATTATTGTAGTTCTGATTAAATATTCCAAAACTATATCTCATTTTGTTTAGCTTATAAAATTTGCAAAACAAAATAAATGTTAATTTTTTTTTGTTTAAGACTGTTTATTGCAAGCAGTGTCGTAATGTGATGTTCTTGAAACATTAAGACTTAAAACTGAATAAATATTTGGGTTGTGCCATGCCAACTGCAAATTGTTCTCCAAAAATCATCAATAAATAAGGAAAAAAATTATCATTTCAACAATTTTTACCATTTTATCTAATAATTGCAAAATTTTATGAACTTATTAATATTATTCAACTTATTAATATTTCTTACTTGTGCTCGTAGTTTTATTATTTACCACAAAAAAAAGAAAAAAGAAAGACTTTATAAATAGTTGATTTTTTTCCTTTACTGTAAAAAGTGCACGAGAAAAAATTTCTAAATTTTTTTAAATTTATGACTTCTAATGATGTAAATTCATGTGAATTTGGTTTCTTTTTATCGTCTATTTACTACACTTAAAGCTCGTTAACGCTATAAAATACCAGCTCCTAACACTGTTAACAAATGCTTTACTAAAAAGCGTTATACATGACATAGTCTTATATGATATAGTCATAGCCTTACCAAAGTCACAATGAGTTTCAGAATTTTCTCTTATTCCCTATATAATCTGATAATCATAAAGTTTAAAGGTTAAAACGTTAAGTGAAATTTTTGAAACTTTCTGAGCACCTTAACTCTAAAAATTAGAACAAATATAATTGTCACTATTTACAAGAATTTCATCAGAATTAATGAAGTTTATTTCATTCCCGTTACAAGCTAAATTTTGTGGAGCTTAGTATTTAACATGTTAAGAGACAATTTGAAAAAGCTTTGAACCTCTTAACGCTAAAACAAAAGGCAGATAACACTGGGATTATTTAACAAAAATTTCATCTTAATTATCAAAGTTGTGGAATTTAGTGGTTAACATGTTAAGTGACATTTTGAAAGTACTCTGATGATGTTATGACTAGCTGACAGCACATGTTAGATTAAAGTACCCTAAAAACTTTTAAAACAAGACGAGATTTCAGTGAGAAAAATTATTAATCGTCGTCTTTTTTATGTTTTTAAAGATTCTAAAGATTTAAAAAAAATTCTCTGAAGATCTATTTAACAAATTCTGCCTCTAATAAGTGTGGCTAAGCAACAGTGAATTTCTGGTGAAGGCCTACAAAATTGTAAAATTTCTTGGAGACAGCATGCTTCGGATTGTTAAGTTACCTCTCTGTATTTTACTTTTATATTAAATATCAGACGACAGTAACTACACCGTGGCAACCAGCAACCGATTTTTGTAGACCCTTACTAAAGAGAATTATAAATTAAACTTACTTGTTGGCGGAAATTTTTGTCAGAGGCCATTGAAGTTCTATAGAGAGCTTTAACAGACGATATTCTTCTTTGGTGTTGGTGTGTATTGGTAGAAAGTGTTCTTCCATGCACGCACGAGTTTTTTCGACAAATCCTCCACCGAGAGAACAATGCCAAGGCGTCTCGGCGATATTGTTTGGTCAGAATTGCGTACAGAAATGGATTGGAACAAGAGTTCAGTGGATAAAAGAAAACTAAAAGTATTTTTGATTTTGTTACATTAATCAGAGGCCAGCCAGCTACTGCAGTTAAACCAAAGAATGCTATTGGAGCCCAGCAAGCGAAGTCTGTGAATACCAGCATAGCCATACGTTTGGCGACTGAGAGATCAGAGCGTACAGTCCTACAAAATTAACAACATAAGGTTAAATAGAGAATACTTAGATCAGGGTAAAAAGAGAGGCATGTTTAGAGGTGATTAAACCATTAGAGAATTATTTTACCAACAAAAATAAAAATTAAAAAAAAAAAAATACATTCGCTAATTTTTGTCTTAATAATTAGAATTTAGTGAAATGACAAGGAAAAAAAGACACTGTGCGTCATAAAAGTGTGATAGGTGCATAATTTTGAAATGTTGTACAGTTCCACAAGCATCTCAAATTTTCTTAATTGTAAGAAATGTGCCTCAAATCTTTATTTTTCATTCATTAGCGTATTTATATCTGTAGTTTGGCTGATAAATTATCTAGTTAAAAAATTGTAAGACTACCACAATTCTTTTTGGTGAAATAGCTTAGGACACATATATAGTTCAGAGTATTTGAATTAAAAAATAAGACGAATGTGCTGATTTATTTATAAATAAATAGCAGTCAATGAAAATCGAAATGAACCAAAACTTTTTCGTCACCAATGAATTTGCACTAAAATTTTATATTTGAAATTTCAAGTTTTTTACATTTAAAGTTTCATTTTATTTTAAAGACAGACAGTGCTTAGTTAATACTTTTTCGTTAATGTAGAAATTTTCAATTAAACCTAAAATGTCATTGCAATATAATAAGAGAAGAAAAGAAAATTTTATTTTAAAGTCTATCCTGTTTTCTAAATTTTATTTGTTGGGTTGCATGTACGTGCAATTGATTAACAGATAGAAGTTTTGAATTTTAACGAAAGCTTTAAATAATTTTTAAAAATTACAACGGGAATCGAAAAATGTACTCAGATTATTGCATTTTAGCATATTACATCGGAATATTCTTATTCTTGGAATATGCGTAAAAGCTTTGTTGTTGAAATAAAAAATATTCAGTAAATTCTAAAATGCTTGTTCTGCTTTGTTTGCCCAACAAATTAAACTTAAATGACAATTTTTCTTTTAATGAAACTTAAAAAACAAAACGACTCTATTTTTCCTATGGAATAACTCGATATTATATCCTCAGTTTAAAGAAGAATATTTCCGATATATTTTGTTAGCATGATTAAAAAACGTTTTTTTTTTTTAAATAACTCAATTATGTGTGGAATTTTTAAGCAAGAAGAAGAAGCAATTTGATGAAGTCCTAGAATAATCACGATTACAAAAATTATAATTTAAAAAAAAAATCTATAAATATAAAAAAAAACTTTCAAATTTAAAGATTAGATTGAACAAAATTAAACAAAGCGGTCTAGGTATTTTCTGCCGATACTAGATGAATTATTCAGTATGAATAAATTCCCGTGTTTTGAAAGAGCTGAAAAATTTCTTTCTAATCAGTTGCATTTTGGAATAAGAGCAGCTGTTTTCAAAATCATATGCTTATTAAGATTGTGATAACAGACATAAGAAGCTTTAGCAATCAGTCTGGAATTTCCGTAATCAGTAAAATATTATCGATTTTCCTATATTCCGTTGCAAGTTAAGAAAAGACCATTGCAGTACAAGAAAGTAATCAACTGCTACTGCTTATAGTTTCGTTTTATATCCTTATCAAATCTGTGGAGTAAATAACATCCCCGCAGTGGCCGGGGGGGGGGGGNGGTTCGAGGGCACAAAATCCCGAAATAATACCTATGATAGGGGTGCACAATTTGTGAGCCGCCAGCTTCTGTTATGAGGCCCACAGCAGCACCTCAATATAATAAAAAAAAATTATTATTGGAAATTTTGAATTGCGCATTTTTTAATGAGACAAATCTATGCAAATAGTAATGATGTAGTTTCTAATTAATGTAGTTTATTAATAGTAAATTAATATAGTTAATATAATAGTAATAACTATTATATTAATAAATTAATATAATAGTAAATTAATATTAATAGTAATTAATAGTAAATTGTAGTAAATTAATGCAGTTTTTTTTATGGTTATCGCATCGAATTTTAAAAATCCCAATATTTTTATTTTGACAAAATTATGATACGTGAATTTCGAATTTTAGTTCTTCATTTGACTTTTAAAGTTCTTTATTTGTGTCCAGTTTATCGACTTTTTGATCATGTTTCAAGAGGTAATTATCGGATTTTCAGGCGTTTTTTAAAATCCCGATCTTTTTAATACGTACATTATAACCGCTCTCGAGTTTCGAATTGTGTAAATAGTGATAACTTTTGACGTGCTTTATTTGTGTAAATATTATCGTACTACTTTCTAAGTACCCTATTTCTCTGAGTACTATTTCTGTATCGTTTCTTAAGCACGTATATCTAAGTTTGACATATAACTTGCTCGTTGCTCTAAGCATCGTATCGTTTCTCTGAGAATTTTTTGCTATTGTTTTTTCAGCACTTATTGCTGCACATTTCCACATGATTTTTTAAATCCCGATTATTTTAATATGAAATATCTCCTTTATTTGTGCGGCAAATAAAGGGTACACAAATCTAATAGGAATCGTAAATCTAAGAGTCTTTTTTTTCAATCGTTTTTTCAACTCTTATAACTCGGCTTTTCATTGGAATTTCGAAGCCTTGATATTTTTAATTTGGCGTTATAATGGCTTGTTATTTTCTAATCAGGCAGTTTAATCATAACTTTTGACTTGCCTTATTTGTGCCAATTTCATCGTCAATCCAAGATATATTTTTTTAATCGTCTTTTTCTTTTTTTTTAATTGCGACGAGATATTTTCACATTTTTTTTAAAAATATCAATATTTTTAATACAATATTATTGTAACACGTAAAATTCGACGTGAGTTTCTTAAACTATTTACTGTCTTTGAACTTTGTTTCGAATTTTTTGTAGCTTAAAAATGAGTTTAAAAAACCATTTTAAGATTTAAAATTCATAAAACCTCTTACAATTCACTAAATATATAAATGCCCTACAGGTAAAAAATAAACTGAATTGGATCTCAACAGAATGTGGAATCTTATTTAGAACTATAATTTGATAGCTTTATTTTAATTCATTTTACATCTATACAATTTCTGTAATTAAAATATAATTCGCATTTATGTTGCTCAATTAAATAGTTATCTATTTTTATTTCATTTTTTACTTTCATATAAGAACATTAGATTTCATTTGCTTAAAATAAACTTTTGCATTATGCAATTTGAATACCTGGCCTGATTCCCATCGCTTTTTCCCTCGTCTGTTGAATAATTTGTTTTTTGATACGAAATAATTTTACTTTTGAAAAGCATAAGTTTGATATTTTTCAGTTTTAATTGAATTTTAACATTTAAAAGAAATAAATTTTATGCAAATATATTACTAAGTTGACTGATGAAAAAAGAGGAAAAAAAAGATAACAACAATTTCAATTATATAAAAGAATTTAACATTATGCAAATATTTTACTAAGCTGAGTTATAAAAAGAATTGAGTCTGAAACACTGATATTTATTATTTTTATTAAAATTATCATAATTGTCTAGATACTTGGGCACGCGGCCCTTAAAGGGTTGTGCACTTCTACTATATGAATTACAATAATTTTTTTCCTTTTATAATATATTTTTAATTAACTTTTTATATTACAATTACCCTTAATTAAACTTTGAATAGATAATTACAATAAAGTGAATAATTTTCTCGAATTATTAAGATCAATTTCATTTAAATGTGATAAGTTGTTAAGTGCATACAGTGTTTCAATTTAGTACTTTTCTGAAATTCGCCTTTCCATCGCATTTATTAATTCCTTATTAATAAAAATTAAAATAATTAAAATAAAATTTATAAATTAAAATAAAGTGAATGACTATAAATACTCGAATGTATCATCACATTGTTTTTGTTTTATATAAAAATTTAAGTTGAGCTTAAGATAGGGTACATTTATAAATCTTGCAGGGCGGCGTACCTAAGTCTATATATGCCATTATATCAAATTATACGAATATACTTTCAGAAACAATATAATAGCTTTCAAAAATTAAACATGTCAGACATATTTTACCATACATATCATTAAATTCATAATAAAAGGTTATAGCTTTATTTTGTAACTGGAATCCTAGACATGGCGACACATTTTGATAAATAAGGTTATTCGTTCTTGAAAAAGAAATAACTATACGACGCTGCAAGTCCTTTGGATTTGATTTGACAACTAAAAATGGTGCATCTTATGCTGGCATGCTCTTAAAAAATCAAATGCGAGATAAATAATTTTGACTTTTGTTTCGCTGTAGAAGAAAATCGCCTGCAAGAAAAAATATTTATCATTCTTTTATCAGTTTCTTTAATGCGAACAGAAAGTATAATTTAAATATGATGCAACTCTCTAATTTTATAGGCTACAAAAGAAAACAACAGTTTTTATTTTAAAGTTTCGTTTTTTTCAATTCGCATGATTAGAGAAAGCAAACAAATAAAAAAAAAATTAAAAAAAAAGCCGTGCTACGTCATTTTAAGAGTTGGCGAGTTGCGCTGGGAACTTGTCATCCATTTAGCTTGCACTTATACAAACAGGCTCTCTCCATAGGAATAATTGTTTTTTCATAACTTGCAACAGAATTAACAATAAAGAGTACCTTTTAGATAAACTTATAACTCAATTTTATAAATAAAAATCAACTTTCTATTTACCTGTGTGCGTGTATATCAGGTTCGTCTCTATTTCCACATTTACTTGAAACTCTGATTGAGAGGTACATTTTAGCGTAGCATATGCAGATTAGAAAAAAGGCAAAACCTTTAGTACTCAGCAGAAATATTACATAAGCCAAATCCACTGTATCGGAAGTGTCCATGGGCAAACATATAGATGTTTTTGAATAATTGCTTATTCCAATTACTGGAAGTGTGGCCATGGCAGAGGCATACATCCATCCCAGACTCATGACTTTTGCCGCAGTGCCCAGTTGTAGTCGCCTGTTAAGATGGATGGCATAAGTGATTGCATACCATCTCTCCAATGTAATAACAGTGAGTGTAAAAATTGAAAGTTCACTTGAAAATACAGTTAGAAAACCGGCGATTTGGCAACCCAGGCCTGAAAGAAAAAATTGAATTTAAGTAAAATTGTTTTTCTACTCTGTTTATATGAGATTGTACAGGTGTACCAAAAATAACTAAAGAATTGATAAATGCAATATACATTTTGATGCATTCGGCTTTGAAAGCCACATTTTGCACTCGAGAAAGTTTGAAAATGTTTGTCACCAGATGGCGCTACTGACAAAAAACACCTTAGCGCAATGGTTCTGCACCTAAGTTATTTCAACTTGAATATTTACTCCTTAATATTTTTTCGTTTAATTTNAAAATAAAGTAAGAAATTTCTACTTACTTATAATTACTTATTATTTCATAAATATTAAGGTATTTATATTTCAACATTAATATATTTTTCATCAAACTGTTGTTACACTATGTATTATTACTTTAATAAATGTTCAAAATCATAAAATAAATGTACAAACACAGTATCTAATAGAGTTTTATTTTAATTAGCAGAAAATTACTATTATGGGGGTCGATGGAGATTTCGAAAAATTATGTAGGGGTCGATGATCGAAAAAGTTTGGCAACCCCTGCCTTAGAGCAATGGTTCTGCACCTAAGTTATTTCAACTTCAATATTTACTCCTTAATATTTTTTCGTTTAATTTTGTCCTTAAACTGCATCACGCTATTACAGAAAATGCTCATAACTGTGTTTAAAAATTTCGATTAGTGGTAAAATGGTGATAAGTTTTGCTTACGTTATTCAGATTGCAATTGTAACTCTTACTGGCATAAAGTACTGAGCTTCGTTTAAAATTTAAGCTTATTAGCTAGTCGGAGTATTTTTGATTGATGATGAATTCGATTTAGCTTTGAAAAAGTGACAGAAATTCGTCTTGTACGCGTCAGGATGATTAAAAAAGTCATACAGCACAAAGCTACAGTTCACTGTTCAATTCTATGACTATTCGGGAAGATGTTAAGATTTTGCATTACTATAAATTCTCATTGGCAATGATATAGCGATTAATTCTGTTTGTTGCTGTCTATGAACTTTTGAAATTTGCAAGCGTGAAGTTCAAGCTAATTAAAGTGGTAGAAATTCGGAAAAAAAACTAAAGAGATTTTATAAAAGCCCTGTAAAAAGACTGAATATTTTGTTGCGACAAGAGTGAAATTAATATTAAGAGTCCCAAATTTCTAACTGCTCTTCCGTCCAAACTATTTGACTATATTTTCCATATTGCGGCTGCACATCCATATTTCGAGGGGTCAAGAATCCAAATTCGTTGATGAAAAGGCATGTTTACTTAAAAAAAAAGTAAGTTTCTGTGTCTCAATCTGTTACTTAAAATATTGTGTGTTCAAATTAATTAGCATATTTGATGTAAGATTCTCGAACTATTAGGACTGAATCTGAGTACTTTAAAACCTGATTATTAGATCAAAAGCTGTTCAGGATGTTCGTTTTCTAAATTTATTTTACACTATGTTCGATAATGCTTGCATATAATCTATATATGTATTTATGTGTTTATAATGGTACTTGTTTATAAAACTGGAATAGCTGTGTGATTAATTAATTTCTATTTTGTGCTTGATAAGTTGTTTTCTCGCTACATTTACCTATTCTAACGATGTGCCAGAGAAAATTTTTCTTAAAGCCCACTAAAACCTGAAATTAAAAAAAAAAACATTTTGCTCTCGATTTCTTCTGCTCCTCTGATAATTTCTAAATAATTAAATCAATTACCTATTTTGTGAAAATGAAGGTTTGTATGTACGATTAAAAGAAAAACTAGTAATTCTTAAAAGATTCAAAGATTCGCACAAACATTTGTACACATAATTTCTGCATGTATATATACATATAATTTTTTTTAACCAAGGTCAATAGGTCTTTCAGAAGTGAGGTTTTTATTTCGATCAATGTTTCTCCAAATTTCCAAACTTATGATATTCCATAGAGAGAAAGTCAGAAAAAAAAATCAGAATAGGCCACTTTTACGATATTTATGGTGAACGACAGTGGTTACAGATTCAATTCCATTTTTACCGATTAGCATTTATTGATAATGAATGGCATCATCTTGTAAAATTCATAAAAAAAATATTCAAACATAGCTTAAAACCCATACAAATGTACAGGTTCCTAACGCATGAAATTAAAAATTTGGGAAACATAGGGTGATAGAGAAAAGAAATAAACGGATTGCTTATTTAATGAACTTTAATTTTTTTTACAGAAATTTTGGAATTTAGTTACATAAGATGACATGAGATGGCGTTGTACTGTGTATAGATTTTTAAAAAGAATACAAATGCCGTAGGACTGTAGAATAATCTGTGATATTCCAATACCAGTCATGCGCGTTGTTCAATTGAATACCTAGTTTAAACCTCCGGTACCACAGCTTCCTTTTACGTTTTATTGAAAGCTAGAATTAATTGCTCTGGCTATCAATGGTTTGCAATGTCATCTGTTAGAACTTTTTATAACTAAACTCCAAATTTTTTGTTCAAAAATTTTACTGCTGTTACAATAAGCTCTACAATAATCTTCTATTGACTTTTGTTGCCTATTTTTTAAATTTTTAAATCAGTAAGTCATTCTCTGGACCCTATGTTTTTATAAATAATGAAAGAATTCTTTAAATAATTATTAATTAGACGCATGTTTTTGTAACAAATAAGTAGAAACTACCAGATTTTTATACTACTTTTAATTCATTTTAAAGTATGGAAAAGAGTTTCAAACAATTTTTTAGAAGAAAATAACTTAATGATGCTTCTCAAATTAAATTGATTTTAATGATTCATACTCGTATAATAATTCATAAAACTTCATAAAATAATTTAAATCCGCCTCAGTATACCTAAAGTTGCTCTTCATGTTTAAGCAATTTAGTGTGGCCACCATATTTTTGTGTTAATTATACGATTTCAGAAATATCTTATCATAAAAAATTTTTACAATAAATATATGCATAGTAGGAAAAATGTATAGATTTTTTTTCTGGGTACTTGGATACAGGAATAACTCCAACTTTGATAACAAAAGAACAGCAATTTAAGTACCGCATACGACTTATGTGCACATGGATACTTACCCTGCTGCCATTCTATAGCATAATTGAAATAAGTTCCCATAGTCCTGATATCCATACTGGCAATCATAAGCAAATATATTCCCATGCAAAAATCGGCAAAGGCTAAATGGCACATGAGGAACTTCGACACAGTCATTGTTGAGCGTGCCGTTAGGATGACTACCAGAACTGCCATATTCCCCAAAATAGCTAGGAAGACCACTACCCAGACAACTATTCTCAGGGACCACTGTCCCATCACGTCTTCACAAGGATTGAAAGCATCCGGCTCCGGGTAGCACTTTACTTCACGAAAATCATGAGCAAAGTTTCCACAAACTGCTCTCACATTAGGTTTGACTGTCACAGGTTTAGGATGGAAAACACCTGAAAAAAATGTTAAAAAGAATTTTTTCTACATTACACTAAACTGAATAGGAACATGAAAGTTGTAAATTTTTTTAAAAAAAGGAAGAAAGAAAATTTAATAATTCCTGTAATAAAATGTGCCGAAATATTTGTTTAGTTCAATTTTTTATTTTATTATTTGCACCACAATGATTGTCCGATTTGGGATTTTTATTTGCAACATAATAAATATTCTGATTTGGATTTTCATACTTGTACCATTCGCGGATTCAACCTTCTTATTTATGTATCGCAATGATTTTCTGTAACAAAACAATTAATTCGATTTGAATCTTTTTTATATCGTTCTCCAATGTCGGCTTCTTATATTTATTCCTTAATGAATGTTGGAATGGGGGATTTAATGTTTAACATTAGCGTGATTTGAATTTCTTCAAAGTGCAGTTTTCAGATTTGGGCTCCTTATTTTTATGCCACAATAATTATCAGAATATAAATTTTATTTCTAACTTAATAATTACATTCCTTTGAAATTTTCTTAATTATACCAGTCTCCGATTCTGTCTTCCATATATTTGTACTATAATTAACTGCCACAGGTTTACGAGTAAAAACTCCTGAAAAATATTAAAACGATTTTTTAACATTAGACTAACCTGAATATGAATATGGAAGTTGTAAGTAAAGAAAAAAGGAAATTAATAAATTACTGTAATGAATTCAACCGAAATATTTGTTAAGTTCAGTTTTTTATCGTTATTATTTGCAACATCATTAATAATCCGATTTGGATTTTTTACTTGTGCTATTCACTGATTTCAGCTTCTTATCTATGTACTCTGATTCACTGAGCTTTTTATTTGTAACAATATAATGTTCCGATTTGAATTTTGTCTGTCTCTTTCTTTGAATTTTGTTTATCCCATTGTTCTCCCATTTCGGCTTCTTGTATTTTTCTGCCATAATATTTGTTGGAATGCAGATTTTTATTTGTAATATTATCATTACCTTGATTGAAATTTTTTCAGTGCACAGTTTTCAGATTTGGGGTTCTTATTTTTATGCCACAATAAGTGCCCTAATGTAGTTTTCAGTTGTAATTTAATAATTCCATTTCCTTAATTATACCATTCTCTGATTCAGGCTTCTATATATTTGTACTATAGTTTGTACTATAATGAATGTCCGATTTTGCTTTTCTACTTTATCCTTATCAGGATTCAAATTAAAAAGTGATGATTGCCTTGCTTTAAAAAAGATTTCTCGTGATTATTCTTACAAAATAAATAGCGAACAATAATTACTAATGCTAAGAAATTATTAAGATAATTAATGTTCTAAGAAAATTATCAATGTTCTATCGAAGAAGATTAGTAATGCTAAGAAAAGAGAAGAGCTGTAGACAACGAATTGTATTACCCTATAATATTATTACTATGTGTTAGTCAAGCATTAGTGAGTTAGCAAAGAATATAAGAGTTAGAAATAAGAATTTTATTTTTCAACAAAAAATAAGAAATTATATAATATTATTTTTAATTCTTAAAAATGTTGATTCCTTCTTCTGCTTTTAAATTTCATGTTTCATGCATCTTTTCATGCTTTGTGTGTTTAAATGAATTTAAAAATGACATACTTGACAGTTCTTGACGTAACGCGAAAAATGATGTTTTATGACACATGATTGATTACTGGAGTCTATTGTGCATAGGTATTTGAATTGGTTTTACGATGAGATCTTCAACTCTAAGGTTTTGTATATTTTGACAATTTTAAGTAAAATTGCGGCTCATTAATTTAAATAATTTCTTTACATAAGGAATACTTAGAATAATTTTTGTAATAAGAGTGTGTTTATTTTGTAGTAAGAGTGTGTTCAACAAACAGTTATTGTATAATAATAATTAATAATAAATAATTTGATTGATGAATAATTTAAGTGCCAATTTCATAACTGAAACGTTCATAGATAGCTTAATCAAAAAATGCATATTTATTTTGGTAAGGTTAAAAACTGCCCAAACTTTATCTTCATTACTTCTGATATTTCTGGCATAATTTTATGATCAATGTCTATGATTATATGACCACTTCTGGCACAGTTTTGTGATCAATGTCTATGATTATATGACCACTTCTGGCATAGTTTTGTGATCAATGTCCATTATCATGTGACCACTTCTGGCATAGTTTTATGATCAATTCTGAAATGCCATATGAATATCAATGTTGTTTTAAATTTATCGATAATTGTCATAACGATCGAACATGCATTGTAAATTTTCCTTTGTTTTTACTTCATTTTTCAAAAAACACTGTCTTTCTTTTATGAAAATTATTTTTTTTAGTTTAACAATTTAGACATGAAACTACAACACTAGAAAAACAAAAACAAAAATTGAGACTTTTAAACATTCCGCGAAATCTATAAATCAGGCTGAATTTTCAGTATATATGTATATATATATATATATATATATATATACTTTTTATAATTTTCCACGCTTTAACAGCGTGANTATATATATATTATCTTCTGAAATCATGAGTTTTTAATTAATTTATATTTTATTCTTAAATAAGTTTTTGTTTGAAAGCATAATACTTAAAAAAAGTAGGAATTATAAGCGTTCTTTAGTAATTCAGGAGGAATAGAGCAGGAAAATTTTTTCAACTTCTGCGGATTTTTTCTCGAAAATTTATAGCAATAGAATTATGATTATATTGTTACTTTTTTTTATTGAAGATTTTCTCTTCTCTGTTTTTAAATTTTTAGATTTTCTCTTCGCTATTTTTCTTTTTCTGTTTTTAAATCTTTTAATATTTATATTCATAATGATTTAAATTAGCAAAATTTGATTTGGATAAAAAGGAATTTTTTTTATTATTTTTAATTTTTTTTTATCGTTAATTGCGAAAAGCGGATATTTTTCTTAAAAAACTCTAAAAATGATCAAAGTTGAATTACATTTCTTAAGAACCTGATTACTAAATTGGTTAAATTAATTTATTACAAACAACTTGCTAAAATTGAAGAATAACATCTGATATATCTCACATATTCCATTAAAGTGATGACTTTGTTTTTGTCACGGTTAGGAAATGTCTGAAAGCAATTAATTTTTTTAAAAAATTAATTAAAGTTAATTAAAAGAATCTTCAATATTTACTCTTCCGCTCTACTGAGTTCAGTGGCAGGAAAATAATAATTCCGAATAAAAAAATCCCACAACAACAAGCACAGTTCCATGTTTTTATTAAACTCCTGTGAAAAACAAGTCTTTTTGCCAAAAAAATTTACTGACTTCAGTAATTAAATGTAAATTCTTAGTATGACACCTTGATATAGTATGTATGACATATATTTTAATTATTTAATTTTATATTTTCAACAATTATTCAGTAATTTTATTTTATATTTTCTTGCAATTATAATTAAATTATGCTTATTAAGATAGTTTCGTTACTTTAATCTATTAATTTCCCGTTATAATTACGAATTTGTGAACTCTATGGTGAAATTTCATGAAGCCGCTGAACTTCATAAAGTTTGGTTATAGAAATTATACATAAAGGAAAAAATTGTTATTCTAGCGACTGGCTAATCGGGATTTAAACTTCCAATACAGACTACTCATATTTCCTCCACTCCTTATATATAAGAGAAGTTTGTACATCTTACAGTCCTCCATTGGTTAACCTGGACTGCCGGAAAACGTGCACTTTCTCAAGCAGAAATGGGTGGCTGTGCCACAGCACTTCTCATCATCACCAAGTACTATTCATCTTTCTCGCTAGATGACACCACCAGATCAATTCAATTTAGCCACATTGTATGGTTGGATGCTACTATGTCGTATGGCTGAGTTGTTGAAAAACTCAACCAAAACTAAAAATTGCTGATTTACTTTAAAAACGTTAATGAAAGGCTTTCTTGAGAAAGGCGTCAGGTTAGATCCGGGAAAGCTACTGACTTTCAGTGGAAAGGTTTCTAAATTATTAATTTTCTTGTTGTTGCAAGAAATGCTGCTGGAATAAATTATGCTTATTAGCTACCCGTTATTTTTCCAGAATATCCTGGAGGAATATTCCAGTGATGATTGAGATAGATGTACTGATATTAATCACAATTTCCGTTTACTAATTGTAAAGTTGCTGATTTTTAGTGGAAAGGTTTCTAAATTTTACGATATATGTACTGATTACAGATACATGCAGATTGATGATAGATGTATTGATTACAATGTCTGTTTTCTGACTGAAATGTTACTGACTTTGGAAAAGTTTCTTAATTCTTAAAAAAAAATTCTTTTTTTTTTGTCAGAAATGCTACTGGAGTAAAATAGGCTTATTAGCTACCTATTATTTTTCCAGAACATCCTGGAAGAACAGGGTAAGATCATGATAGATGTACTGATATTGATTTCAATATCTGTTTGTGCTACACTCAATGCCATTTTCTTGTTCGAATGTGAAAATCTACTGAACTCATTTGTTTTGCACTGTAATTTTAAATTCTTCTTACCTTCTATACCTAAGTCTTCATGATCACTCATTTGGTGGTTGTGCGTGTAATAGTCTCCAACAATTGGATAAAAGTTTCCTTCTTGATTAAACAATTCTTCTAGTTCTTCCCAGTCATTAGTTTCATTGGAATGTGGAGATGGAGTGTATACGATTTGACCATAAACAATATCATTATCTGAAAATATACTTTCATATTATTTAGAGCAACCCTTAACTTAAATAAATCCTTAAACAATTTAAATGACCATTAAAAAAGTTAATTCAGTAGTGAAACAAAATAAATGCATATAAAAAAAAGTTTCAGTAGTGGTTTAAGCTTATGGATCCTGTATTATATCATTAAGTCTGAACCCAATATTCACGGTATAGAGCGATATAAAACATAAAATTGTAGATGTTAATAGATCCTCTGTTGGGGTGCTGGTGAAGTTTGAAAATGGGGAAATTAATAAAAACATCAATAATGTCGTCTGGAGAGATGATACTTTCGTATCCCGCATGCCATGGGTTTTAAAAAATTGTAGTCCTACGATTGGAGTGCTTGAAACAAAAATATCTATTATATATAATTCTCTTACGTGGCTCCCAAATTTTGGCTGTATTTCTTTTCCGCCGGTGGCAACGTTTGCTTTGTTTTGAAAACACCAAAGCATTCTGCCTTTTAATGATGTGTTTCTGATCTAATATATATAATTCTCTTACGTGGCTCCCAAATTTTGGCTGAAGTACTTTGTACAACTAAATAAGATTCTTTTCACAACAGTTAAATATTTACTTTATTTTCTTCATTCATAGAGAAAACAGTCGGCAAAGAATTCTGTTAGGTTAAAAAACATTTCGCTAAAAAAATAACGAATTCTAAAAGAAATAAAAATAAACAACTTAAAAAATAAAAATGCTGTTGCCAGCCATAGAATTTTTTGAAAGTTAACTTAGCAACATAAATCAAAATGACATAGAAGCGCAACTAGATCAAAATTATGATACCTGAGCGCTTGACGTAACAAATCCTTCAATTCTAAAAGTGTTGTATCGCCAAATGCCCAAATTAACAATTGTGTTCTTAAAGAAATTCTATAAAAAGTTTTAAATAAACAACCTACTTCTACAACTGCTTCTTGAAGAACTTGGCTCATTGATTAAAAATATTGTTTTAATTTTACAGTACTAACTTTACTTCTACTTTCATTATTGCTATGACCCTCTTTCATTACATTTTACAACTTCATGCTAAATTTGAGGACTTTAAGTTGTTTTGTGGTTGAATACTGACATTTAGAAATGTGTACATAAAAAAAATAATATTTAGAGGTTAAGAGTTGCCTCAGAAAAATTTGAATTGTTGACATTGAACTTAACAATGGAAACAATCGTTTTTGTGAAAAATTGAATTGTATTGTTGACATAAAACTAAAAATATTGTGTTTCAACTTAACAATACTACCCTAATTTATACTTTAGAATTGCCTCGGAGAAATTTGAATTGTTAGCAATGACATAAACAAAAAGTTTTATTTTAACTGACAAATACTATATTATAATTTTAACTTTTTCTATGACTATACTCATTTTCTTACTCTTTTCTTTGTTTTTTATACATTTTATTTTTTTGTGATAAAATAAAAAACTTATAGTTGTTCTGCTTCTGAACACTGATGAAAACACAAAATGATGGGCTTCATCAACAATCAAAAATATATACATTTATTTTACAAATTCCATATTATTAAGGTGGCGCCCTTCAGAGAATTAAAAATACAAAATTATCTTCATCAAAGCCGATGCTTTACATCCGGCGTTCAGTGGCAGACTACTATTTCATATTGTTTTACAACACATGGCTTTAGCCCTCTGGTGGGAAAGACTTTAAAACAAAACTTACAACAGTTACTTTTCTCAACAACTGAAATTTAGAATAGTGTGATTAAGAAAAATATGTGAACTGTTTGCAATTTCAAATTAATATTGAAATGTACAGGTTTAGAATTTTCTACAGTGAAAAGTTTTCGGAACTTCAGTATTCAAAAAAGTATACAAAAGCTAGACGTTAAGAACGTATCCAATGAGCGAGCAAAGCGAGCATTGGATTGCGAAGCAATCCGAAATGAACTGCGAAAGCAGTTCCGGGGGTTGGTGAGCGTTAGCGAGCAGGGGGCGAAGCCTCCTAGTATTTAATAAATCCCTTGAAAATGATCTCATTTTCTAATCATCAGTGAGTGGATGAACCAAAGAAGTGGGTGAATGAAGACGTGAATGAATGCAAGAGTGATAATTTACGAACTTCAGGAAACATGAATGAATAAACCAATGAGTGTAAAACAGATTGACTGAAGAAATGAATCGAGTGAAGTAATGGTAGACTGAACGAATGAAAAAATTAGAAAGTAAATGGATAAATGAACGAGTGAATGGGTAAACGAATAAATGAATAACTGATTAATTGGTTGAGCGATAAGTTAGAGTGCTGCAAAAAAGAAAAAAGATGGAGAAACAATTTTTCAGTTAATAGGTGAATTAGAGAATAGGGGATTCAATAAACGAATGAATCAGTGAATCAGTTATTTGTTGAATAAATTAGTCAATTTGCAAATAATAAGAAAAAATTCAATTTCGGTACTTCAATTTACGATTTTATTTTACTTTTAATCCAAAGAAATAAAATACAATCATACCACTTGAAGTTTCCTCTGAACCATCTCCAGATGATATGCGTAAATGTCGACTTTTGCGAATAGCGGGCATTGTGGCGTGCAACGGTATCTCATCAGGTATGGTAGACGAACAGTACGTTTTGTCGACGTCTTTTCGAAGAGACTGCAGACGTTGGTATTCTTCAGGGTCATGTTCAATGGGAAACTTAAAAGCGCAGCAATGGTACGGATAGGTCAAACGGGCTTCCTTGATTTCTGGAAAGTGCAACACAGAAGGAAGTGTCCATAGATGGATTGTGTCTCTCATGTTTAAAATTTCTAATGTGTCCAGTCCTTGGCTGGGGAATTTCCGTATGCTTGTTTCCGACACATCCCTTTAGAAAAAAGAATAACAATGTTAAATTAAACTGTGTGGGATCCTTTGCTTTAATAAAGAACAAATGACTTTACACTTAAAGAACGAAAATGAAACAACCATGTCAACAATGGTGCAGTAAAAAATTAAAATTTTTTCACAAGTGAGATTTTAAAATTCACTATTGATGTAGTTTTGTTGCTTACATCGAAAACAAACAAGTTTTCCCGAGTGACAACTGAGTATAATATGAAAAAAAGCACAACTACTTCCACTTACTGGGAATAACATTTACCCTTTAGTTTAATTAATAAACTGAGTTTTAAATATGTTTACTAAATTCATAAACTTTGGTAAAACAACAATATAAATTATTTCCAAAGGAACTAGACTAATACAATTCCAACCTGGCGAGTAGCGACTTATAAACAAGACACTTCGTTTGATGCTTTTACTTGTTGCTAGAAATCAGGTTCGCAGAAAATGCTGTTTACTAGTTAAATTTAGTAGGAATAACACGATCTGTGACGTAGGCTATAGTATACCCAATTGGATTTCATTAGTTTTGGTAGAGCAGTGTTATCGCTAAAGTACACATTGGTCGAGAAGGGGTATTAATAGGGCAAAAAGAGGGTTGAGTCCCCAATTTTAATATCGTGATAACTAGAAGACAGTGGAAAGTGATCATTATGGAGAGTGAAAAAAGGGAGCGTAACTGTTTTATAACAAGCTTGTTAAGTCACAATAATAACTACAATATTATTTTTTAAGGTAGATGTGTTGCCTTGTATTTATTAAAACCTTTTAGTTTGAGTTAATTGGGATGTAGTCAATTAGTGCTAATTTAATACATCGATATCTTATTGGTTAGTATCAGTGAATATAATTCCCATACCATCGTCCTTATCATTTAAGCAAATGCTTTTGTGAACTCTTGTAAATTGTATGCTTAGTTGCAAAAGTAATGCTATCTTTAACTGAATATGATTTTTAATTATCGTTCAATAGTTTGACAATTTTCATATTCAAACGATATATTTATAGCAATTAATATTTCATCTTTTTTCCAGAATGTGTTTTCCGAATGCTTTTGTAAACCTTTCGAACGTAATAGCGTGGGAAGTTATTTCGAATAACACTATAATTTCCTCGTCAAACTGCATAAATATAACTTAAACTTTCATGTCCCTAAGCGCTTCTGAAAACCAGAATTTAAAACTACTAATGGCCATTCTCTCTGCCATAAATCATTATCAAACTAACGCAATACTACTTATCTTTACAGTCTGTTAGTTTGCGTACAATGCAATGATTTTTTCCTCCACTCACTGTAATCATTCCAATAGATGCATGCCTCGTGAAAATTGAGAACTTAACGCTTCTGTCACACGAAGCCTTCTCTCCCTACTTGCTATCGCGATATTTTTATTCTAGTTCATGTAGATAAAATTTTATTTGAGTGGAGATGAGTTTTTTAAGGTAGGTAGGTACTTTAGTAACGCTGTACTAGAGCTGCCCCACGGGCTATTGGCGACGGAACATCTCTGAGCCGACGTCTCATCCGAAGACCCGACATCGCAATTTGGATCCTCTGCAGAGAGGTGGCTTTCCTGCTTTGGTAGCCAGACGACCTGCACATAAAGTCGAGCAATTTACGGTAGAAACGTTTAATAAGGACCGATACCACTCACCCTCGGTCCCTAGGCAGGCTGATCAAAGTGGTCACCCAATCGCTTACTAACAGCAGCCAGTGTTTTGCTTGAATTCGGTGTTCTACTGGGAATCGTGTATTTACGATCAGTACCACTGAGGGACATGAGTCTTATAAGAATAAAGCATTAAACCAAAATAAATTACGTCTTCCAACTCTATTTAAATTTTTGATTTCATTTATTAATCGTAAATATAAAGTTTAAATGCCCTTTTAACTTTCAAAAAACATCAAGCGCATTTTCTAGAAGAGCTCCTAAGTTGCTAGCTCCATCATTGCTCTTATGATTCTTTAAATGAATAGTTTTAACACTCTTAGAAATGAGACTGTTATAAATGATATACTCACAGAGTTCTTAAATTTTTAATTCCGGTAAACGCCTCATTACTTATTAGGCGAAGCTCTTTGTTACCTTTCAAGCTCCTGTAAAAAAACATAATTATAATCTAAGATTAAATAAGTATTACTTCAACCAATGCAAAGGTTGCCAAAATTATTGTTCGAACACAGACGCTCAATAACGCCTTGGTGCAAAACTATAAATTCTATATAGCTTATACATGTTTGAAATACAAGAGTAGAAACAATAGAAACATTTTTTTTTGTATTTTGTTGCATTTTTCTTTGTTCATTGTTGCTATTAAGCATGCAAATTTGTCGAAGATTTTTCATCTCAATGTAGCTGTATCTTTCTCTGTTGCAAATGAGTCAGCTAAGTAATTCTATATCGTTTGAGAGTTATGCCGAGTTGCACAATAGAATCGAAATTTTACGCGTAAGAAAGAACTCAAGTTGTAAGCTAAGTAATTCTATATCGTTTGAGAGTTATGCCGAATTGCGCAATCGAATCGAAATTTTACGCGTAAGAAAGAACTCAAGTTGTTAGCTAAGTAATTCTATATCGTTTGAGAGTTATGCCGAATCGCACAATCGAATCGAAATTTTACGCGTAGGAAAGAGCTCAAGTTGTCAGCTAAGTAATTCTATATCGTTTAAGAGTTATGCCGAATTGCACAATAGAATCGAAATTTTACGCGTAAGAAAGAACTCAAGTTGTTAGCTAAGTAATTCTATATCGTTTGAGAGTTATGCCGAATTGCACAATAGAATCGAAATTTTACGCGTAAGAAAGAGCTTAAGTTGTTAGCTAAGTAATTCTATATCTTTTGAGAGATATGCCGAATTGCACAATCGAATCGAAATTTATGCGTAAGAAAGAACTCAAGTTGTTAGCTAAGTAATTCTATATCGTTTGAGAGCTATGCCGAATTGCACAATCGAATCGAAATTTTACGCGTAAGAAAGAACTCAAGTTGTTGCTGACTACTGTACAAGCAACGAGATTTCATATCTTATTATTAGCGTTATGTCTTTCAAAGTTCGAAAGATAATTTTGGGACATCTGTTTTATTGTTCATGTTGCAAGAAAAGAAATTTTCTTGCGATGAAAAACAATCCTCAATTTATTTTAAATACATTTGAATCATGTAAAACATATAGGGATATTTTACAAGTATATATGCAGGGTTTTATATTTTTAGAATCTTTGGGAAATATTAGTGAAAAACAGTCACATTATATGGGTCATCAACTATTATTTAAATCAGAAAGACTAAACCCTTCTCAAATTCTGACCAATTCTAAATAAAATTAACCGTTTGCTTACGGTGCTTAGTAGGATGAAGTGATTCTGGTCCACTTATCGTACTATCCGAAAGGTTAATAAAAAATTAGATAGAGTGTGTTAGCGATTTTCTTGGCGCCGGCTGGGATCGAACCAGGGACTTTTGAGACAGTCGACATAAGTTCGAACCACTTTAGGAAAGGGTGTGGAATTAGATGCTGTGTGGTTGTGAGTGGTTTGCCATTTCATTTCATTTAATGTCGGGACGTTGAACGAAACGATTGTTTAAAAATTGTTGGATTCTCTTCTTTAGGCAGTTTAGACTCGGTATTTTCTGGACTCGGTATTACTCGGTAAACCAAGAAAAACCTTATTTTCGTAAAAAAATGACGCGCACAATCTTTAAAAATTAATGGCAACTATCATTTTGTCAAAAGTCGGGTAGGGCTGCCATCCGTCTAAAGGGGGAGAAAGTTGCGTGGTTTTATAGTCGTATACTAGCATACTCTTTCCGAGAGAGCAATGTTGGGATTAAAATCATCTAAAACCAGTTTATTTGAGGATCTCTTCGTTACTCATTTTGCTCACAAAAATGAATGATCAGAGTTAAAAAATAATAGAGAAACATGTTTTATTCATTTTTAAAATATATATCAGACCGATTATAACGGTATGGCTAAATAAAGAAAAAAATTATTAAGATTGATTAAGAAAGAAAATTTATTACTCAGTAAGGCAATAAAACCTTATTTTCGTAAAAAAATGATACACACAGACACACCTTTTTAAAATTGATCGCAAATGTTATTTTGTCAAAGCGTCGAGTAGGGCTGCCATTCGTCTAAAGGGGGAGAAAGTTGTGTGGTTTCATAATAAGCATGATAGCATACTCTTTCCTAGAGAGCAATGACGGGATTAAAATCATCAAAAACCCGTTTATTTGAGGATCTTTTCGTTATATTATTATTATACATTAGACTGATTATAACGGTATGGCGCTAAATACGGAAAGAAATGTCTTACAGTTTTGCTATTTGGGAATCGTGGAAAGACCAGTCTTCTATTACTTCTATAGAGTTATGATCCAAGACTCTGAAAAAAAAGACTTTTTATCTTGATTGTGTTTCAGAAAATAAACATATTAGTTTCTTTTAAAATTTTTATAAAAAGCAATTTTTTTCAAAAACAAAATCATCGAAAAAATAGTTTCAAAATCGCACGCAAATTATAATGAGTTATTTTTGAAGTTTACACTCGAAAATTGATGTTATATTATGTTAATAAACTTCTGAATTAATTGATGAAAAATTATGTTATTAAACTTCTTTAAAATAAACGATTAAAAATTTTGTTTCTCTAAGTTAATTATTTTAGCGTAATCCTTTACGCATCTATTTGACTACACATTAGCTATTCAAATTAAATTATTTTTTATGTGTAGTTCTAATTCAATTTTTAGTTGACACAGAAATTTGCATTTCTTAAACATATAATTAAATTATTAGCTGCCGAATATTCCTGAATTTTAACGGAAATAATATTCTAATTTCTAGGTTTCGTAAAATTTGTCAAGAAAGTGACAATTCATAAGAGAAACTTTAGAGCTGAAAATAAAAAGGCTAAATATCGCGAGAAAAATAAATAGAGTAGCGAACATATTCATATCCTAGAGGCTGTATTAGAGAAGCTGAAAAACTCTCTAAATCTCTAAGCAAATTCATGAGCTACCTGTTCGAAAAGGCTTGTAAATTGGATTGGAGAATGAAAGGAATAAATAACTGTCAAAAGCAGTAAAACCAAGTAGTATCTGTGTTAATACAAATAAAACTGGTTCTGAAATCGAAGAGATGCATAGTAGATGTTGAGATCAAATGTATAAATATTGCTAATAAGCTAATATTTTTAAAAATATATCTTTGATTAAATTATTATGCTCTCTACGTTAGCGCATAATTAGATAAATGTAGTACATTTACTTTTATAATGTACATTTCTTATGACTTTTCTTTCTGCAACATTTTCCAAATGGAGATTTTTACGTATATTATTTAGTCTTTGGCAGATTTTGGTCATGCGATGTTGAGTTTACACAAAATTTTCATAGTTGTGAAAATATATAGTATTCAGGTTTTGCACATAATCTTAAATCAAGTATTCTAAATCTATGGAAAATGTTGTATAACTTAAACAATTAGTTAAATTTTGGTGAAATATTTTTTAAACTTTGCCATGAAATTTTTTCTATGTATTTAAAATTTTGTTACATTTATATTGTAAAACTATAATAGCTTTATTTCTATAATAGCTATATAACCATGATAGCAAGTTTCGTAGTTATATAGCTATTACAGGCATATATCTTACATAGCTATTATAAATATATATCTTATATAGCTATTATAGATATATATCTTATATAGCTATTATAGATTTCATAGTTATATAGCTATTATAATAGCTATATAACTATGATAGCACTAGCAATTGTAGTAAGTTTCAATCATGTTTTGTAGATTTTTTCACATATTTTCTTTTATTTTTTGATATCTAATAAACAACGATTAGATTTTAAAGAACCATCATAAATCACATTTTCTATAAATTACATTTGTATTAATCACATTTTATGTAACCCCTTCCTATATTATTTTTCTCGTTTCAGAAATTACACTAAATAAAATTATTTGATACTGTATATGATTATTGATTATCAATTCTCGCGTTTCAACAACGATTGTTCCACGACAATAAGAAAATCACTCAAACGAGTAATCGAAATTAATTTCAGAGAAATTAGGTAATTATTTTCTTGCCTTTAAGGGATGCTTTTAATATGAAACTAATTTTTGCATTTATACCTTGTTTAAAGATTTATTTATACTTTGCTATCGATAAAATTGAGTTAATATGTTTCTTATATTCATCATGATTAATAATCTAAAAAAATTTTGGACTTTATTTGTGAGTTTATTTTTCGACCACAGGAAGTCTAAATTTCTTGTAAATATACAAAATTTATAAAAATGATTGAAAACTTAAATAACATGCTTTACTATCGAAATTATGTATGCGTTATTTTTGCATTATTCTTGAGGTATTCGATGTAATGTGTAAGAATATTGATTGAAAAAAGTGTTTTTAAGTTCTTGTGTTCTTTAAAAATCCAATTTTTATGCTTTCCTTATAGTATATACGCGAATTAGAAATTTTATTTTTTTAGAAAATAAATTCTAAGGGATACGTTTTGAATGCGTCACTAGCTCACGATTTCCACGATGATGTAAAATTCCTTTGCTCTTGTTTTCGTTTGTGTTTAGTGCCGTTAACAACACCCCCGCACCACCAGGGTGTGGTCGTGCGGGGATGAACCAACACACGCTCAAAAAAAAAAAAAAAAAACATTACAAAAATTACAATAAAAATATTGATTTCTCAAGTATAGGATTTTTTTAATTAACTTTACAAATAATAATTACCCTTAATTAATCTTTGAATATAATTATTGTGAGATAATGAGTTATTTTCTCGTATAATTAAGATAAATTTGACTTCAATGTGATAAGTATAGGTAAGTGGATGCAATGTACAATTCAGTACCTTTTCTAAATTCCATCTCTCCATCGCAATTATTAATTTATATTTAATTTGAATTAAAATGATTTATATAATATAAATAATATAAATTATGGCATAAAAATTAAAATAAAATGATTGTAAATACCCGAATGTCTCTTCATTCAGTTTTTTGTTTCATGTCATTCATTTCATGTTTATAAATCCACGTTCATAAATCTTCAGGCAACCACGAACAACATAAATTATTTGAATTAGCTTTTTACTGTCTACTATTTTTTCCTGTAATATTTATATTTTCTGTTTAAATCACCAAAGGTTTTCTTTTAAAATTAATACAACTCAGTTTTAATTAATTCATATCAAAGTGAATTGCATTTAAAGTGTAGCTACGCAGTGATTATATTGTCATAGTTTTCAAAACATATTCAAAACATCTGTTAAATTATCTAGATAGTGAAAATGATATACATGAGATAAAATCGGAAACAGTTCATGATTATTATGACCTGGGCATTTTAGTCTAACTATTGATATCCAATCATAATTATTAAATTTAATAATAATATCTATGTAATAGATGGTGCTGGATTGGCAAAAAAATGCGTGGTACTTAATTCATAATCGCTATTTTAACACTATTAATTTTACTTCGTACTTCGTTGATAAATCTATTATATATAATTCTCTTACGTGGCTCCCAAATTTTAGCTGTATTTCTTTTCCGCCGGTGGCAACGTTTGCTTTGTTTTGTTTACTTTTTGAAAACACCAAAGCATTCTGCCTTTTAATGATGTGTTTTTGATCTAATATTTATAATTCTCTTACGTGACTCCCAAATTTTGGCTCAAGTACTTTGTACAACTAAATAAGATTCTTTTCATAACAATTAAATATTTACTTTATTTTCTTCATATTTCAGTCGGCAAAGAATTCAGTTAGGTTAAAAACATTTCGCTAAAAAAATAATGAATTCTAAAAGAAATAAAAATAAACAACTTAAAAAATAAAAATGCTGTTGCCATCCATAGAATTTTTTGAAAGTTAACTTAGCAACATAAATCAAAATGACATAGAAGCGCAACTAGATCAAAATTATGATACCTGAGCGCTTGACGTAACAAATCCTTTAATTCTATAAGTGTTGTATCGCCAAAAGCCCAAATTAATAATTGTAATTTTAAGAAATTCTTTAAAAATTTTAAATAAACAACCTACTTCTACAACTGATTCTTGAAGAACTTGGCTCATTGATTAAAAATATTGTTTTAATTTTACAGTACTAACTTTACTTCTACTTTCATTATTGCTATGACCCTCTTTCATTACATTTTACAACTTCATGCTAAATTTGAGGCTTACAACACATGGCTTTAGCCCTCTGGTGGGAAAGACTTTGAAACAAAACTTACAAAAGTTACTTTTTTCAACAACTGAAATTTAGAATAGTGTGATTAAGAAAAATATGTGAACTGTTTGCAATTTCAAATTAATATTGAAATGTACAGGTTTAGAATTTTCTACAGTGAAAAGTTTTCGGAACTTCAGTATTCAAAAAAGTATACAAAAGCTAGACGTTAAGAACGTATCCAAAGAGCGAGCGAAGCGAGCATTGGATTGCGAAGCAATCCGAAATGAACTGCGAAAGCAGTTCCGGGGGTTGGTGAGCGTTAGCGAGCAGGGGGCGAAGCCTCCTAGTTCTATATAATTCAAATGTAGTTCATTTTTTTTATTTGTCATCAGGTACAAAAATATTTTTTCAATATTAAAACTAATATTTCCCCTCTATTAATAGTACGTCGCATTAAAAAAAATATTTATTAAAGCAATTCTTACCATTTTTCAGTAATTTAGCTTAAAAATAAACAAATTTAGTTTTAATAAATAGCTTTTTAGCTTTCTTCAAAATAATTCAGTTTTTATTAATATTCGATAGAACTGTTTTCAGCTAATGCAAATTGTAAAAATGTCTTAATTGTAGAAATGTCTTAATTAAATTGTAAAAATGCTTTAATTAAATTTACGGAAAGTAATAATTGCATTTCTAAAAATGTAGAATTAAGATCGTAGAATTTAACTGAGTCACAATTAATTAAAAAATAAATAAGGATTAATATTCGCGAAAAGTACAATTTAGAAAAGGCTTCTCAAAATCGAACGGAAATGTGTCAAAATAGCTCGAAAGAAAATAATTGTTGATTTCGGAAACCCTATTCAAAATTGAAACAGCATGTACTCATTTTTGAACAAAATGCATTGTATAAAAAGTGATGAGGAGGGAGAAATGTGTGAGAGAGATGTTTGTTTTCTGGAACCGAATCCAAGGTAGTAGGATGCTCTAATTACCATAGTTGTACAACTCAGCCCAGAAAGAGTGAGAAAGCTTTATATATTTTATTCGCTTAAACGTTTAGACATAGCAAAATAAGCGAAAAAGGGACAATAAAATTACCGATCCTCAGACTAAACTATTGGGATCACAATTTCCAAATTGTAGCCATTTTTACCATTAGAATTGGAAATTCGAGTAATAATGTGTCATTGTGGTGGCCTCTATAAAACTCTTTCTATCTCTCAATAGGGTTGTACAGTGAGGCAAAAAAATGCATAATCCTGAATAACTTTTGATCTAATGTTCGGATCTTCACGTTCTAGAACTCAATCTTATTGGCTCAAGGGGTAAACTCGAATATGCAAATTAATTAGAGCAAACGATATTTTAAGTTACGAAATCAGACACAAAAACGTACTTTCTTTGAATAAACATACCTTTCTTTTTGTTGACAGATTCGGATTTCTGTCCCCCAAAATACAGAGGGTAGCCGCAATCTGGGAAACATAGTCCCAATAGTTTGGTCAGGTGAGCAGTTCAAATTTGATCCTCTTAATATTAGTTTTATTTTTAAAGTATTTTGCCATATCTCGAGAGTTTTTTAAGCGAATCTAAAGGTAATTCCACGCAAAAAATAAATTTTAATAAATATTTATCATCTTTATTTATTTTATTTATAATAATCGAAATAATTTTGAATTCTAAGGTACATAATTTTTTAGATCATTTTAAAGTATCTAATTTTACATGATAAAACGAAAAAATTGACTGAAATCGGTTAAATAATACCCCATAACTTTTTTAATTGTTCAGACGACGGTTTTTAATTATTCAACGTGATGCGCTTTTTTTTTTGTCGCTCTGTACAAGTATGGTGGTTAAAGCATCCTACTACGAACACCGGAGGTTCGAATCCTTCTAGCCTCCAACAAACTTTTGACACATTTCTTCTTCCACATCCTATTTGAGACTATAAATTTTGTTCAAAAACGAGTATATGCTGTTTAATTTTTTAACATATGGACTTTTCAAATTTTATTTTTCGACTATAAATTTTTTTGGAGCTATTTTGGCAAATTCTTGAGAAATTCTTTTGAGAAATTCTTTTTTAAAGTGTCTAGGGAATTACACTTATAAATTTTTTTATTAGTTGAAATTTCATATTCAATAAACAATGTGAAACATAACAGATATTGTAAAAATATCATCGAAATAAAAGTAAAGCATTGATTTTATTTTACTTACAAGTTATCTGCTTTTACTTTGACTGAATGGGACGTTATGTTTCGTATCCTGTTACTGTCGAAATCACTAAAATGAGACAACAGGTTTTATCAAATATTCAGAAATAAATATTTTCACATCGAGTATTACAATAACACTTTCTTAACCATGGCAAAACACTATGGTCTATTTACAAACGGATTTCCTATTACAACGGATAAGGCCAATTTACAAACGGATTTCAGAGTTGTTTATTATAAAATGCTTCATTCAATTAGCCACATTTCAAACTTTTCTACATTTTTAAGAGAAAAATCTAAAAAATAATAGCTTAAAATTATGTATATAATATATATTTAATATATACGCAAACGCTTTAAGTTATACGATTGGATAAAAAGCGGCAATTTCGACAAAAATTGTTAATTTTTTCATTGTTTATATTTAAACTTTTGTACTTAAGGTTATTAAATCTTTTTAAATTTTTGTTTTCCGATATTTAGAATCAAAGTTGTAGTTATTTTTTCAATGCAATGTGATACAGAAATGCGATGGGATGCCTGCAAGAGACATAGTGTTGGGTATCTCAATCCTGATTGGTTGTTGAAACGTGGCATTTGTTCACGTTATCAACTGATCTTTGCATTCCAATTCGAGTAAGCCAAGCCCACCTAGTATCAATTATTTTAAGTGCCATATTCAATATTCTTTCACAAAGATTTCTTTTCCTTCACTGTATATTTCTTACTCAACACAAAGCCAGACACGAAGCCATGTAGAACATAAACAAACTTATTATGCATTGAAGTTTACAGTTACACAAAACAAAAATATATCACGGTTACAATGAAATACGTAAACAAATAATAAATCTAAGTTAAGAAAAAGACATAGACGAGAAAGAATTATATTTCAACAAATTTGATACATGATACGGTGCTGTATCTTATTAACTTCGCGTTAATTGGCATTCTAACTTATGTGAAGAAATTTAGCTCAACTTAAAACAGGACTTTTTCCTTATAGGCGATCAACTGGCGCTGACGTCATAAGTCACATGTGTGGGCATTCGTGATCTTCATTTTGAAGTGGAAGTACCCAATTACTTCTTTAGATGCATTTTCAGAAAAAAACTTTAATTTTTAGAATATCTCTTTACGTTAACACACATTACAAAAATTTTTTTAAAAAAGAATTCTTTGAAACTTTGTTTATAGATTTTATCAATATAACCCATGTTTTGGACTAAAAACCGAAGTATAATTAAGTAGGTTTAAGTATGTTTAAAATTTTTCTTTTGAAAAATCAATACTAAACGATATATTTGGTTTCATTTCGTTGTAAAATTGAATTTTTTTAAAGAATTTAGTTTAAAACACAGGTAATTTTATTGATCTAGGAAAAAATTAATTTTGATATTTATAATCTAAAATTTGTTGACGTTACGTAAAAATATTGTTGTTTTAATGCTTAAGTGTGTCTTTATTTAGAACAAATATTTTAAAAGATTTGTAATGTTAGGTTCCTTGCTTACCAAAAAATAACTATTTAAAAAAAATTGTGCCACCCCCATTTAGAAAACGTAAGCATATTAAAAGAAACGTCTTCTTATTTTTTTTTTACTGTTACCTTGTGAATTTTATTGATAATAATTTTTTTTTTACATTAAATGCGTCTATTTGCATAAACAGTGAGATATAAATATAATACTTGAGATATCGTTTAGAACGGCTGTATTACACAAAAGCACATATCACTGTATCCAATTAATGTAACGTATTTAAATATATTCAAATATATAAATGAAATTCATAGCTCTCTAGAGCAGTGATTCCCGAATGGTGTTTTCAGAAAGTTCTATTATATACTTAGTATTTCGATTGCCTTTATGAAATTACTACCTTTATGACATATTTAAAATAAAATGTCAAAAAGAGAGAAATGAAATATTTTTTTAAAAACATATGCAATTTTTCTAAGAACAATAATGAAAAATTATGAAGTGGAAATGTATTTATAAAATATTGCCATAGTATTTCCCATTGCGCTTTTCAAATCAAAATATAATAATTAATTCTCCAATGAAGAAATATGTTTCCGTAATTACCGTTTTCAAAGTTTGTAACAGTTCTATTTTTTACAGCAATATAAAAGCAAATTTTTTTCTTGATTACATTTATCTCTGAGTCAGCCAAGTCCACTATCAATCATAAAAACTATTTTAAGATTATTAATTAATAAAATGATTAAAAAATCTCCTTCATCCTATTAAATATTAAAAAGTCTGAAAGTCAAAATAAAGTAGTTTTTTGATGATTAATGCTTACACTATTGTCTTTAATTACTTTAATTGTGAAGTCAAGGTTCCACCGGAAGAAGCTTCATTATTTAGGATTCCGTTGCCGAAAAATATTTAGAACAACTGCTCTGGAGATAAAGCCAAGACCTCTAGCATGGTAGTCCGATGTATTAACCTCTGAGGTACTGTTTAACGTATATTTAAGATTTATAAATTGTAAAATTAAGCTTGCAACAATGGATTAGGGGTTAAGGCTATATGACCTAACACTTACACGATGAAAAACATTTTAACTTGTGATCCAAAGTGGTCTATTGTGATACCAACAGTATAAGAATAAATTTACTGAAATTTATGTAGATTTTAAAAAAAGATCTAAAGTAAATTATAAATTTTTAGACATTTAAATCTTTCTTTCTTTTATAACATTTTGTATTGTTGAGTTAACCCTTTAAGGCAATTGGGAGATCGGTGTCCCTTATACATATTTTTTTTCTGGTGCTCAAATTCAAGCAAAAATACATTTTGGTATTTTTTAATTTTAAAAAAACAGACGGATAGTTTAAAAACAAAAATCTGTTAGATTATCGGAATTATATTTGCGTTAAAATATAAAATAAAATAAGTAAGTGAAAAAAAATTTCTTATTCATATTCAAATATTCATTAATAATTGATTTTGCATATTAAAGAAATTTCAATGAAGATGGACTGTTTCTATTAGATCTAAATAACTGCAAATAAGTTCAAATTTGAAAAATTATTGCTTAAAAGTGAGCCGTGTTTTGGAAGATTTCACCTGTAACGCAGAAACAGACACCGGTATTTCCTGTTGTATTTTATAACCTTAAATTATTACAATTCTAAATATAATATCTTTCCCTTATTTTGACCTAACTCAATACACAACAGTAACAAAAGTATAAAAAATATGTTAAATAAATATTCTGCGTCAAGGGGTTAAAATAACGAAATACGAATTGTTTTACTTTGCATAAAGACGATAGTAATGACATATTTACCTAAAAAGGGTAACATATTTAAATGACGTTTTGAAACGATAAAAGAATAATATTTTGAAACAAAAAGTATCTGGAAATCATCTATATGTAATTGATGAGTTTTGACAGCTAGTGGAAAAATACCAACGATCTTTACTAATATCCACCTTCTGCTTCTTTATTTTAGTTTTTATATAAAAAAGACTTCTTTCTATTGTTTAAGGAAAAATAAACATAAAAATCGACTGGGCTAGCGAGAAAGGGACTGCGTTTGTGATGCAAACACATCAAATAAATATATGTCAATATCTCATACATTAAAACCAAAATGGAAGGAATCTGCAAAGAATTTTTCAGTTAGTTATAACAGTTCTAAATTAAATTTTGCATTAGCATCTTTTTTTTATATTTAATAACACTCCATTTAGTGCAACATCCGTATTTCTTAAATATGTTTTTTCCCTCTAACACACCGTTTTTAGTAACGCTTTTCTTTTAAGAATATCTTTGATTTTTTTAAAGGGAAAAAAGGAACTATTTTTGCTAGTATCGTGGTCATTAACTCTTCAAAATTGTTTAAAGCAGTTATCGGCATGCAAGTTGAATTCTCGAAAACTAGTATTGGATATTTATTTAAAAGCAAATAGCTGAAACCACTTAGCAGTTCAAACTACAATGTTGAAATGGGAAATTTAAATATTTATTTAAATGTAACTCTAATTCATTCTACTTCCTTTTTGTGTGTATATATATATAAGCATTGA